TTTACGTTAACTTTTACTATCGGACTTGGGAGTTCTAAGAGGCACCCAAGAGAATCTCATTGGTTCTAGACATAGCCTTCCTTGTTCACCTTGTATAGCACAAACCTACTTCCCCTTAGGAATCAGGATCACTCATCCCACAAGGTACAGTAACCCCCTTCTCTTCCAGTTGGTTCAGAGGCATGAGGAGCCCCACACAGGCACGGCGGTCTCAATTTCCAGTTCACTAGAGCCATTGTTGCGTCTCCTGTTGGAACCATTAATTCTCTTGGGAATCAGGCCTCCAAACCAGCAGAGAGAATGTTCAGAAATGGGAAACAAAAATCCTGCCAGTGTGTAATTTATTAGGTGTGATAACGAAAGATGCCACTCTCCCTTCTACTCCTTGATCCCCACCCATGTATCCAGTCTAAGGGTAAAGGAGAACCACACATTGGTCTCTTAGGAAAAGCATATTTTTGTACGACAGGAAAGAAGCACTCTCCTTGACAAGAATGGAAGAGGCCCTCGGGGCTCAAAACACAAATACCGTGAAAGCATTGCCACCTACTTTGTGCCTTTTTCCACTTCTGCATAGAGACCCAAAAGAACTGAAAGTTGGGACTTGAAAAGATATCTGTACACCCATGTTCATATCAGCATTATTCACAATAGCCAAACGTTGCAACAACCCAAATGTTCATCAGTGGATGAATGGATAAACAAAATGCGGTATATACATACAACGGAATATTATTCCTTAAAAAGGAAAAATATTATATCCTTAAAAAGGAAGAAAGGAAATTCTGACACATGCTACAACATTAACAAACCTTGAGGTCATTATGCTGAGTGAAATACGTCATACACAAAAGGTCACTTATATATGATTCCACATACATGAGGTTCCTAGAGTAGTCAAATTCATAGAGACAGAGAGTAGAACAGTAGTTACCAGGGGCTGGGGGAGGGGGAATGGGGAGTTATTGTTTAATAGAGATGGAGTTTCAGTTTGGGAAGATGAAAAAGTTCTGGGGATGGATAATGACAATGGTTGCACAACAATGTGAATGTACTTAACGCCACTGAGTTGTCCACTTAAAAATGGTTAAAATTATAAATTTTATGTTATGTATATTCTACCACAATAAAAAAATTGATTAAGAAAAAGTATATAATGATGCATCCTGTAACACAGAATCCCATCTCTTGAGAGCGTTATGCCCAACTGCCCACCACTGAGTGTTCACAAGGCCACTTAAGAAGGCCAGCTGCTTCTAGGTGAGGGGCTATTTGGTAAGACCAGTGAAGTCCACGGGCATGAGCCCCTTGCCACATGAATAAGAGCATGCGGTGCCAGGTTGGGGCTCGGTGTTGGTCTCTGCTGTTGGCAGATCAGGCACTTGACATCAGGGGCTGCCAGGGCAGCCTCTGGGAAAGGAAGTCCACATTGTGGGGCCTGTGCATAGCCGCCATCCCTGCCACCATGACGGCCTGGTCCACTGGCCCTTTGAACCCACACCAAGGTGCCGTGGGGAGAACCCCGCCAAAACCACAGTTTCTGTTGACTGTTTTGTTCCTGAGTACTGCTCACGCCTTCCTGTTTCCTTTGTATGTCTCATCACCCAGAGATTTCAATATGTTGGATGGCTGTTAATCCATTACAGTAAGTATCCTTGTTGAAACTCAAATGCACTTTCCTGAACTTCTAGAAGGAGGTATGGTTCAGGATAACGTCTCTAATTTCACAAGAGCCCCCTCTTAGCTTGTTTTCATTTGGGGTTGAAAGACACGGCAACTGGCCGTCTGAGATTTTCGGGCTGCCTTCACGTCCCCCACACGCATCTGGATCTGACAGCTCCTTCGCCCCTGCTGTCCCTGTCCTGGTCAGTCCGACTCCACTCTCAGCAGTTTCTCTGCACTGTGGGTCCCTGTCTCGAAGGTTAGCCCAGGAGGGTCAGTGTCAAGCCTGAGAGTGTTCCAGCCCCTTTGGACCTGACCTAGGGACCCCAGCATTGACCTGCTGTTGGATTGGGCGAGCCCTCCAAGCCTCATGACAAGGTCCCGCTGTGCTGCCTTCCCCTTGAGAACCTTGGCTACCACGGGTCTCAGTTCTCGGGTCCGTCAGCTGTCCCCTGCCCCCCTCTGCTTCCTCCAGCTCCAAAGCAGATACGGTGCAGGGCGTGGCCGCAATGATTTGCCCCCGCCCATTTGTACTTTGGGGATCATGATTGGGGTGGGGGGCATCTTAGGAATATTTCCTCACCTAATTTTCTGAGAGATATTGTCAATAGGGTTCTTGGTTTGCTATCTAGTTACTGTTTTTATGTGGGGATTCACAGAAATTCAACAGGTATCCCACCACAGCCTTCACCTTCACCCTCCCAGAGTCCCTGGCCCTGCCCTCACCCCAGCCCTCGGGTGGTCATCACTTTGACCGCTGTGCTCAACCAGCATTGAAGTGGGTTTGCCTTCCTGGTGTCCACTTCCTTTCTCACCCCTCCTGCTTATATCTCACTCCTTCCGAGTCCAGTTCTCTTCTTCCTGGACTATGTCCTTCAGCACTTCTCTCAGCAAAGGCCTGTTAGTAATAAATGCTCTTAATCTTCACCTGTAAATATGTTTTTCCTTGCTCTTGGTTAATACTTTACCTGATTCTGTCATTCTACAGGAAACTATTGTTCCTTTGCCTCTGGCTTCTCGGGTTGCGTCTGTTAGGTCTGCTGCTGTCTGCCCCTTTGTAGGTAATGATTTTTACATTCTACGAGGTGAAGAGCTGCTGGCTGGTAACAAGGTGAGCGTTGAGTGAGGGGCTAAAATAACAATAGTAGAACAGGACAACACATTTCAAATGGCAAGGAGTTCTCCAAGTGTCAGGCCTGAGGAGCAGCCAGGCAGGGGCTCTGCAAGTGGTCTCAAGCCCCCACTCTAAGGAATCCCCCCACAGGCCTCCAAGGAGCTAAGCTGGGGGCTGCTCCAACTGCCTCCTTGGTGTTTCTCAAAGCCCTGCCCCACTGCCTTCCTCTCCCTCACAGTGCTTTGGCCTCACTGGTCATCTGTTCCTTGAACACAGCAAGCTCCATCCTCCTCACAGCCTTTGCCAAACTTCGAGTCGGGAACCGTCTCCACCCACCACCCCCGCCTCCACTCGCTCATGTTTTCGCGTGCGTGGCTCCTTCTCGTTCTTTAAGTCTCAGCTCACACATTACCTCCTCCGTGAGGCCTACCCCAACCAACCTCAAATTGTTCCCATCCCTACCCAAAACACCCCCTCCATCAGTGTCCCTCCCCACCCACCCAGGAGAACTGTTAAATCTTCTCATTATTTCATACGTTGTTTTACTTGCCCTCAGTGTTCCCGTGAGCCCCGTGAGGGTGAGGATCTCGACGGCCTACAGATTGTCAAGCAGCCCTCCAGCTTAAGAGGGTGGGTTGAATCCAGCATTAACTCTGCTCCCTCCCAACTTCCCACTAAAATGGCAGTAAAGGGATTTTTTTTAAGGCCTACACCCACAAGGTCAAAGAGAACAGAAGAGGACTCAATAGTCCCATTTTGGAATCTGACACTGACGTACAAGTGGTAATCCTCTTAGCAAGTTCAAGAGAGCAGCTTCCCACGTGGGAAGGCGAAGGCCAGGGAGAGCCTGATTACTCCATGGGAAGTCCCCAGGATCAGACTCAGTTTGGAGCTATTCCAGGGTAGGAGCAGAGTTTGGGAGTCAAAGGCACCTTCACACAGTCTCCACCACTCACTCACTTCCACTCAGGCACAGCCCGGTTCAGTTCCGTCATCTAACCCGGCGTGAGGGCCCCTTCCTCTCGGGGTCATTCTAAGGAAAGACAGTGGCTTTGGAGCACCTGGCCCAAGGTAGGTGCTCCACCAATGGTCATTTAAGGGTCAGAAGAGCCAAGTGATGGGCCAGGGGTGACCTTGGGCCAGGCCAGGCCCCCCAGCAAGTCCCCCAAGAGCCCACCCTAGGAAGCAGCTGAAAATGGCACCACCAAGCTTTGTAGCTGAAGCCATCCAGAGGCCACGCTGGTCATCACAGCCAGACTCCCATGCCCCACAGCTCCAGCATTTCCTCTTTCCCACAAGGGAGGGAGGGCCTCCCAGGGAAGCCAGCTGGCCCTTTGAGAACAAGGGATCAAGGGCATTTCTAAAGCAGCAGGAAGACACTACCATCAGGGGCTATATTTAACCTGTTCTTAACTTGAAATCAGTTAGTTCAAGCCTTCCAACTACTTAAGACCCTCTTCCTGTGCTATAACATTCCTCTGCTCAAACCCCAGGGGCCAATTTCCCTTCCCAGGTACAGCTGGGCTTCTCCACGGCCACCTCCCACCCTTGCCTCATTCCTACACCAAGGCCACTAGGAGACCCCTAGGCACTAGCCATCTCTGCAGCTCTCATCTCGCAGGTTGTCTTCTAGGATTTGTCCCGCTTCTCCACGCAGCGTTTCTGGGATCAGTAAGGGAACTCACATGTAGAGCAAGATGAGAGCCCTACAGGGAGCTTGCCAAGGGCCAGGATACGGCTCCTTAAACCACTGCCTGCTTGGGCACTGGCTTCGTTGTTGCTTTTTAGATGAAAAGGCTGAGTAGCCAGGGAACCAGGCAGGCCATAAGCAGGCCCGGGGAAGTGAGTCAATCATTTAGACCTCAGTCGGGGAGAGCTCAGAACTCGGGCTGCCCTTCCCCAGCTCACGGTCACCCACTCCCACCAACACTGACAGTTTCAAGCACAGAGGGCCAGTCCCAGAAGAAAAGCGGCCACAGTGACTTCTGTTGGTCTGGCTACTATAACGGGATTTTACTCTCACAAAAATCTTGTCAAAAACCTAAAACCTCCCACATCATAAGACTCTGTATTTTTAGTTTTTATATCACACCCTCTTATACAATTTACTTTTGCCATTTCATATGTACCCAAAACATGTTTACTTCAGACACTCGGGAGAAACCTATTGTATTTCAAATAACAGACACTTCCATTTAGTTATCAAAGAACCAATCATGAAGGATTTCACGTAAATTGCTCATTTATTAGCACTGGTTCACGACATAATGGTTCCAGTAAATATGCTGCTGCATGGAGGTGACGGAACAGGTGAGGTTGAGATGCGTGGACGGCAGGTTCTTATTTCTTCCACTCGTTCTTGTCGTAGTCCCACTTGGCAGAGAAGCCCTGGATGGGGCTGACCTTCATGTCGAGCATCCTCTTGGTCTGCTTGGCCACCCACTCCTCTTCAAAGGTGTGTGGGACGGGGCCGTACACTACAGTTCACAACAATTTCATGAGGCAACACTGCTCGACAAGTTGTTGCTAAGCCAATGTGTTAGATGGGTCAGGTCCCCCCCAACACACCGGCAACCAGGCCAGCGTGGCCGTCTGCCACTCACCGCCAACACCCACGCAAACACATTGGTTGTGAATCCTGGGCACAGACAACTCGTGATATTTCCAAATTATTTCTCTGTTTGTAAAAGGTTAGCAACAAAATACCAGAGCTAAAAGCAGAATGTCTTCTCTATAGGATGTAAATAATGATGTCTATAGGCCAGTATAGAGGACAGAGCCAAAGGTGACGTGGGAGAAGATCAAATACATAAGCACACGTTATTAACCCGTGTCCCCAGTCAAACCACAGTACAGGATGATACCTACTCAAAACGGGAAAATACCGATTCTGCCTGGACAGAAGGAACACAGGAGAGGCCACGCTAGAAGGAGTGGGCAACACCAATACTGTCTAAGCAAAAACTGTTAGGTCTGGGGACCCAGAATTCTGGTTACTGAGATGCGGTCCCCATAGAGCTGAAACAGCCCTCTGATGAATAGGAGTTCCCTTTTCCTCGACCTAACCTTCACCATGCTATCTTTTGATAACTGACTGGTGAGCAGATAACTGCCACTGGAAATGCGGCGTGCTATACAAAGTAGGGAAGTGGTTCACTTCCAAGCATGGCACACCGTGAATAAATCAGATTCTGGCTTATACCACTGGGCTATCACGAGCCAGTTTCCCACACCTGGTAAACAGTCCTGGGATGGAACCCAGAAGGGAGGTGCCCATCTTGTGTGAAGGCCACACTGTAGCCCACTCCTGGCCACTGAGAGACGGAGCTGTTCTGGCTCCATCCAGCTCTGGTGTGGCTGAGACCTGAGACCCGCTCCAGGCCACGGTCCCTTCTCTCCTCTCTACTCACCATAGTGCTTCTCCCAGATCAGGAGGAGAGCAGTGAAGCCGATGAAGAACATGGCAGCGCCCACAACCGTCTTCCACTCGTTCGTGCTCCTGTTCATTTCAGCAAAGCTCTCGTCGAACTTAATGCGATACACTGGGAACAGAAACAACAGTCATTTGCAGGCGCAAAGAGCTATGGGGACCAACAGCTCCCTCCTACGCAGTGTTCCACCATTTGTCCCACAACAGCACAGCTGACGGATAAAACGCAGAGTGAGGAATACAACGTAGGCCTAAGGCCACAACATGCTCATGCACGTGCGCACACACGCGCTCTCTCACACACGCATGTTAAGGAGTGAGGAAGTGAAGAAAACGCATGGAGCTTGCTTTGGGTGAAAAAACTTCTCAGTGACATTCTTTCTTCTTTAGATTGCAGTGTAGGTCTACTTCCTCTCCTTACCTTCATACCCTTTCCTACCCGACAGTGTTTTGCTGATCTTCCGTCGACATTTCCAGTAAACCAGGCCTACCCAGCACAGGCGCTGAGAAGCTGCACCCACACACTCTGCACTCTACTGACCCACACATGGCTGCTCTGCGTCCACGTTCCTGCTCCTCCCCGGGGGCTGGAGCCCCAGAAGAAGAGACAATGGGACCTGGGCAAAGGTCCAGTCAGCCAGCAGAGCACAGAAACACAACCCACGGACCCTCCCAAGCACACTGGTCTCTGGGCAGCACCCCAGAGCTCAAAGTAAAAATTCCCTCTCACACTGTTTGCCTGTTACTTCCCTTTAATACCCACATTCAACTTTCTCATCAATGGAGAGGCTGCTCCAGGGGGCCTTCTCCTTCTCTTTCAAGGCTTTCTGGCTGGCAGAAAGGTTCTTCACGTGGGCCACATCAGGCAAGGGATAGTCACGACGGTCGACATAACTGGGGAGAGCATAGTCTTCACTCTTTATAACACTTCCTAAAAAACACATTGGATAAACATCTGAAAATTCACATAGGTTCAGTCACAAACAAGGTGGTACTTCTAAAAACTGAAATAAGTACGTGTATGTACACCCTGAAAACCTCAGTCATCCCAGGGGGCTGCAGCCATTGTTCCAAACAGCTGAAGGAGTGTCGTGTAAAACAGAGAGCAGGCCTGTCCTGCGTGGCCCAGACGGCAAAATGAGGATGATGGATAGATGGTCAACAGCAGAACTTTTCATCACAGCAAAACAAAAACCTGCCAGGGGCAACTGCTAACAGAGGCAGCACTCCTGCAACTGACAGTATTCACACAGAGGTCACACACGGGCTCTCAGGATCCCCTGGCCCGGAGACTAGACTAAATGAAGGCCCTTCTGCAAGTGACCCAAACTAATGAGGAAGAATAAAAACAACATAAAACTCGTAAAAGAAACAAGTGTTCAAAGTTCAGAAAAAAAGACATATGAAAAGATGGTTATTGCAGTGCTGTTTATTACAGCAAAAAAAACAATACCTGTGTCCAATAGAGGATGGACTCAGAAACTGTGCCAGGTCCTTAGAGAGGAGCATCATGGAACCATGCACTCACCTGTTCCAATGAGTGTTTACCGAGCACCTACTACATGCTTAGCACAGTTCCAAACACCTGAGAGCAGCAGTGAACGAAGCAAAGATTCCTGCCCACTGGCATGTACACGCTAGGAGCAGGGACAAAATAAATAGACCAGACGTGTAGATTACAGAGCATGTCAGGAAATGAGTACTCTGGAAAAAAAGAAAAAGGAGAGCAGAGGAAGGGAACAAGGGGGTATATGCACAGCATACACAAGAGGCAAGTTACACAGTAAAGAGGAAGCAGATCCATGGGCTCAAAATGGAAAGACAATCATGTACTCAACAAGGCACAGAACCATTATCAGGGTTGTTTTTCTGTTTAAAAATATAAATCATGTGTACTTTCTCACACGTACATGTAACTAACACACAACACTCCTGGCAAAGTAAACCCACCTTGTCATCAGTGGGAAGAGAGGAGAAAATGGGGACTTCTGCTCAAAGAGACAGAAATTTTAGTGCCTTAAAATGAGTGTGTACTCATGCATTACTCAAGCAAAGAAGAAAAAAGTTCAAACGGCAGAAAAGAAAGGAATATCTTAATTTTTATTTTGGGTTTTCCCACTGCTAAAAGATTTTTTTTCATTCTATCCTCCACCTGCAAGAAAACTTTGTGTTCCAAACTGGTCTGGAGGTATGAAATCCCACAAAAATGCTTCACCTCCATTAGCTTAGTCCCAATAATTAAAATCTCCCAAATCATGTTAACAATAGTGAAACAAAACATTACGCCTTAAGCAAAGTAGTATAATTTCTCTAGACGCTTATCTTTGCCACGCAAATGACTAGCACCCTTATATATTTATAATCAATCTTATCCCAAAAGGATTTGAGGTGAAAAGTGGCTAGAATTACTTCCGAATTTTAAAATTCTAAGAGTCTATTAAAATGATGAGTGGACTAAAAAGAATGGTGTCTACCAGCACTCAGCTTACACATGAATTACTAAAAATAGATGTAAACTGGGATGACTACAAGGCTCTCAAGTTGATTATGGTGAGAACGGGACAACTCAGACGATACTAAAAACCACTGAAGTGTACACTTTAAATGTGTGAAGGTATGTCATGTAAATGGCCAATTTGTGGTCACAGGGCTGCCAGGGGTCCCTCAGCACTTTGGGCCTAGTCCCACAGCAAATGCCAAACATTCCTTTTAAAAAGAGAGAGAAGCAAAGACCTTGCATCCTAGTGAATGTTTTGTCATTTCTATGACATTCTAAGAAACGACAATTTCTATGTCATTTCTATGACTCAACTGAGATGGATTTTGGAGCCTCTGCTGAGGAAATCTGGTGAACCTGAGCTCCCCTCTCAATCAGATGTGTCACTGCACAAATATGCACTGCACAAACTGACAATGGTGGCTACCAACAGCACTCCATATTGTGTTACTATTTTACGTGGAGAACCAGTTCACGTACTTGTGCACAACCTGTATAATTAGAAGTCAGAAATTAAAGGACAAGACTTGTTTAATGGGGTACAGTTTTCTCCATCTGCCTACTGTGTGCTAGAGACGGCACTGAATACAACAGGCAAGGCCCCTGGCCTCAAAACGCTGGCACTCCAGAGGCAGACAGATAGGACTCAAACATATGCACAAATCCATGGTATGTCAGGGCTCTAAGGAAAAACAAAGTGGGGTGACGCAGGGTAGGGGGCATCTTTAGGATGAGTGGTCAGGAAAGGCTGTTTTAAGTAACATTTGCATGGAGGGTGATGACCAGAAAGAAGCAACCATCCACAACTCCAGAGTTCTGAGGCAGGAGGCAGCAGCCAGATGCATCCGAGGAACAAAATACCATGGGGGGCAGGGAAGTGTGCAAACGGGGAGGGCTGGTTTGGGTGGTTGTTGGCTTTTCTATGTATGACGTGATGACATCAGCAAGGCCAGCTGTAGATATTACTCTAGGCATGAGAAGCCACTAGAAGGTTTCAAGAAGAGACTAACTTGATCTTACTTCCTCTGCCAAAAGCAATACCTAAGAATAAGTCACGGCCAATGCCACTACAAAGAGATAGAAGCTGGCTTCCTATAAAGATCAGAATGACCAAAGGGACAAGAAGGAACTTTTGGGGGTGATGGAGATTTGTACATCCTGACTGGGGTCGTTGCTACATAACTGTGTGAGCTTACCAAAATCCACAGAACATGTCACCCAGAAAAGACCAATTTTACTTTCTGTAAATTATATCTCAAACAAACTAAACAAATAAAAAGCTAAGGAAATATATCAGCAAAGCTAAAATGGAAAGAAAATGTAATCTTCGTCATAACTGACTTCCTAGGCTTTTAATGAAGGAGTGTTTCTTTCCATATATGTTAACTAAACAAATCTTTCTCTATCACTTACTTAAATAACAGGTATTTCAATAATACTCTTACTAGAATGATCTGTTTTAGAGTCTGTATCCATAGTGTTGTCCTGAGCCACAGTGAAATGTAAGACAACAGTATCACCACTTAAAAGACACAATTTCAAGGGAAATTCACATAGAAAGCAGTTCCGGTAAGAGCAGTTCCTGGTTACTGAGTCCCTAGATACATAAACCTTGCTCTCTAACTTCACCATCAAGCCTTCACTTCACCCCTCAGTAACAACCTGCCACGCTAATTTCCATTTTGTCCTCTTGCTTTCTCTCCCTCTGGAATGCCATTCCCCTCTCGGATGGGAGGTTAAACCTACGAGTCCTTCACTATAGCAGTCTCTCCTCCAGAAGCCACCCCTGAACCCCAGGCCAAGCTGAATGCTTCTCCTCAGGGGCCATCTCTTACTGAAACATTGTCTTCATGTATCTGTCCTCCCCAGATTGCAAACATCCTTGTGAAAAGATTCCATATCTCATATTTTGTTTATCCTCAGTGCCTAACAGTGTCTGGTTAAAAGAAAATATTTGATAAATGCAAAACTAAACTTGCCATGTGCCAGGCAATGAACTAAGCTCTTTACATGTATTTCAGGTGAGAAAACAGATTCCTACGCTTAAGTGGCTAGTCCAAGATAGAAATGAGATTGAACCCGGCTCAGGCTCGGAAGTCCAAGCTCCTTCCCTCCCATTGCCCCAGTAATGTAAACAGTATTGAAGATAAGTGACTGGGAGGTTTTTTGAGGGGAGAAGAGATCATTGAAGTCAGGTATGGTGTACAAGAGCTCTCAAAAGGGGGTGGAATTTGAACTTGAAGCTAAAAAAACAGGAAAGGAAGGAAAAGGGGGAAAATATCAGCATAAGCAAAGATCCAGATTAGTATTCAATGATTCATAAATACGCTTAAATCTAGAACTATGCCCTGTTAAAATACGTATACCTGCACTACGTCCCTCAGCAGCAGAATCAGGATCTTAGCCCCCTGTGTTTGAAACTCCAGCACCAGACTTTACACTTGGCAGGAGCAAAATGAAATTAGCTCAGCCTATTTAAAAGAAAAGTTATACTTACCATGTGCTCGTACACACACTGAGGTGGAAATTGCTCGCTTGCCAATTAGGCTAAATACTCTGGTAGCCAACATTCTGAAAGATAAAAATGTACACCACCTCTATGAATAAAGGCAAACATCTATTAGGAATGATTCTTCTTTTCGCCCCAGTGCATTCTGGAAGTCAATGCAATTCTTGACTTGCATTCTTGTTTTCTCCCCAACATAAATAATCTGTGCATCATTACTGACTCGGAATTCACAAAACCACCTAGGATGAGGTTTTTCTTAGCAGTCAGCACATTGTTACGGAGCCTCATTATAAACCAAGTGCCATAATACATACACACTTCAGGCAATTAGCAGAAAATTGGCTTTCTTAAAAAACAAGGAGGGCCGGCCCCGTGGCTTAGCGGTTAAGTACACGCACTCCGCTGCTGGCGGCCCAGGTTCTGATCCCGGGCGCACACTGACGAATGGCTTCTCCAGCCATGCTCAGGCCGCGTCCCACATGCAGCAACTAGAAGGATGTGCAGCTATGACATACAACTATCTACTGGGGCTTTGGGGGAAAAATAAATAAAATCTTTAAAAAAAAAAAAAAAAAAAGGAGAAAAAAATTTTGAGAGAGACTGAGAAAGCTAGAAACGGTAAAGCACTGTGCTGCCATAATAGGCTCCACTGTTTGGAGAGAAAAGGTAACAGCTCAAAGGGACTGCGGCATGCACCGCATTCAACTGAGTATCTGGTTAAAAATCTAATATGTGCGTACAATAGGAAGGGGAAATCGGGCAGAAAAGCTGCAGAAAGGCTGCAAATACGGCCCTGGTCCACTTTCAATCCCTACGGGCAACGGACGACCCGGATGACCCACTCTCACCTGGGCCCTTCCTGCTCAGGCCCATCTCCCCTACCTACCCCTCCTGTAAAAATGGACCTTCCAGGGCACTGCTGATGATGAAGAGGATCCCGAACGCATTCGGAAAATATTCCCAATAGGGGCAGAATCAACAGAAGCATGACGTCAGTACTGAACCCGCTCCCTCTCTCTTTTCCTCTCCCCCGGCCCGGCCCGCGCGTAGGCGGACGCGGAGCGCCTCTCCGGGAGTCCCGTTTCCCCGGGGCGGTCGCGCGGACGCCGCGCGAGGGCGTGACCTGCCCCTCGGGCCCGCGCCCTCGGCAAGCGGGCGCTCCAAGGTCAGAGCCCTCGGCCGGCCCGCGGCCGCGGGCGGACAGGGGATGCCGGGACGGGGGCTGCGAGGCGGCACATGGACCCCGACCCGGCGGCCCCCAAACGCCGAGCCCCCGCGGGCCGGCCTCAATGTCACCGGGCGCCGAGGCCCAACCGCCGCTTCCTGAAGGCGCCGGGCCGCCGGGCTGCGGGCACGCACGCCCAATGGCTCCCGGCCCCCGACCCTCGCAGGCCCCCCGGCGCGGACGGCCCGCTGCCAGCCTCACCTGCCGCCACCGGCCCGCCGCCGCCCGCCGTGCCCGCCGCGACCGCCCTCTACGCCCCGGTTGCCCGCGACCGGAAGAGAGCGAGGCACGCCGAGGAGCACCACGGGATCTAGGAGGACTCCACCCCGCGCCCAGCACCGCCGGAGGTCACTGGAGCGGAAGTGGGGGAGCGTCGCGAACGTCGTAAAACGCCGGGCCGGGCTGCTTTCCGGCGGGCGCTGAGGGACCGCTTTCCGGCGGCGCCCGGCGAGGAGCGCGAGTCGAGTCTGAGGCGGGCACGTCGGTCCGGAGCCTACGTTCGAGGGGCCGAGCCCGGAGCGGGGCCCGGCCTGTGGGGGCCTCCGCCAGCCGCGGGGCCGCGCCAAACTGCCGCCGCTTCGTCCCGCTTCTCCGCTGAGGCTCCGCGCGGCCGGGCAGCGCATCCGGGCCTCCGCCGGCGCCCGGGGCCTCCGGGGCCCTCCCGGGCTCAGCATGCCCGGGGTGAAGCTGACCACCCAGGCCTACTGCAAGATGGTGCTGCACGGCGCCAAGTACCCGCACTGCGCCGTCAACGGACTGCTGGTGGCCGAGAAGCAGAAGCCGCGCAAGGAGCACGTCCCCCCGGGCGGCCCGGGGGCCCACCACACCCTCTTCGTGGACTGTATCCCCCTCTTCCACGGCACCCTGGCCCTCGCCCCCATGCTGGAGGTGGCCCTCACCCTGGTAAGCGCGGGAGAGGACAGTGGCTTCCACGCAGTCCCAGCGGGAAGCACACAGGTGTCCGGCAGGAGTCTAGAGCCCACCCCCGAGGTCGCCGTGACTCACGGCGGATGGGGGGACCCCCGGGCGCGCAGATCCGCGCCTGGCCCCCAGTGAGCCTTCGCGGACGGCGGCTCTAGTCCTAGCGGCCAGCCGAGCGACCCGAACCGTCGTGGATGTTTTTAGAAGCGCTTTAGGCAACGAATAAAGCGTTAATTTTCTCAAACCGGTAACCTTTATAGAAACAAACCTGAAGCCGTTATCGTAACTGGGTGATGATTCAACAGCGTTTGTATCTGGGCTGTTGAGCCGCGAGAAGTGTTGATGTGCCGGGAGCTGAACGCCGGAGTTTGGTTCGTGCGCAGGTTCCTTATCCGCCGGGGGTCTAACGCTGCGGCTCTTTGGTGTCGGGACTCCGGAGAGGAGGCCCGGTTAGAGAGTAGCGTTGACAGCATGGGCGCTCCCCTCTTGAATGTGCACGAGGACTGTGTAGGAGATTTGTATGTTGCTGGTGGTGGTTAGTGACTTATAAGAATGCTCCTGTGGTTTTAAAAGCTGAGGACTCGCTGTGACATTAAAAAGCGGAAGCAGACGTGCCGTCTATCCACCACACTCTTATGCGTCTGCTTGCAGTGACTGCTTTACTGAAGTACAGCGGGGAAACGGCTTAGGAAGCAGATGAACTGGCTGGGAATGGAAATCTAGGCAGCAGTATGTGAGGTTTGGTGATCAATGAAGGGAAAAAGACCACCTGTAAATTCCAAGGAGTTGTCACAACCTTAGGGAGAAATAAACTGACCTCAAACCTGCCTCAGTACCTGAGCTCAGGTACTGTTTTTCACTTAAGTATAAACTATGATACTAAAAAATTATTAGTTAATTCATGCACAAAGTAGCTAAGTGTGGGAAGATGTAGGTAGAAATCTTTTCTCAATGCCTCCCACCAAGTAAAATGAATCCGTTTCGTAACTTAGCTAGTTATGACATCTATGTAAATTCTTGGTAAGCAGGAAGTACCTTTGGACAAACGGCCCTGGCCTAAGGTTACGGGGCACACGTTTGAGTGCCTGTTAAACTGAGTCATTGTGTGAATTTCTTCATATCATCTCTGGGCAGGAGAGAGGTAAGAAGTAGATAATATTTATAAAATCAACCGTTTTAGCTCCTGAAGAACGTGCGGTCAGTACCAAAACATCACTGGAGTCTGCATGCGTATGTCTTATTGCAGGTCTTTTCAACCAACTGTCTTAATTATTTTGTTACCAAGGGAGTTGCAGGGTGATTGGATATGATGTGCGTTCACTTGCAGGGACCTAGATTTACCAGTAGCGTTAGTCCAAGATTATTCAGTTTTCCAGTCTTCCCAGGCCTGTGCTGAGGGAGGGATATGGCTGTGGATCAAACACAATCAAAACAGCAGTTGAACTTGTGCTGCGCAGACAAGTACAATACCTAAGAATAAGTGCCATTTGTGGGGTTGAGCAGAAAGCAGTGAGGGGTCTGAGAGAAAAGTCAGCTAACCCAGGCTTGCAGAGTGAAGAAAGACAGGCTGCCCAGAGAAAGGGACATTCAAGTAGTGGCCCAGTGGGCCAGCTCTAGTACCTGAGGGGGTAGGAGGTGGAGGAAGAGCGTTCAAGATCAGCAGGTGCGATGGCCAGGAGAAAAGGGGGAGTGTTGGAGGAAGAGCTCGAGTATAGAGTGTAAAGGGACTGGGGGTAGAGAGAGGTGAGCAGTGAACAGATTTCATTGTAGAAAGGAGTTTGGGCACCAGCGTGAGGACAGGGAAGCCCCTAGAGGAGAGTTGCACGGCCAGATTTGTGTCTTAGTGTGATCGTTCCAGCCTGCAGCAAAGAGGATGTTGGACACAGGACTGCATACAAGGCTGGAGGCAGAGAGGTGGCCTAAACTGAATGCAGTGTGGATACAAAGAGGGAGACAGATCAGAGAGAGAGCCAGGAGCGAGAATCCACAGGGCTCAGTGACTAATTGTATGTGTGTATAGGGAAAAGGAAGCAAGGGTGGCACCTTGGTTTCTGACTCATTGGGAGGACAGGGGTGCCATTGATTGAATGTTGAAAGTTGAAAAATGGGTCTGGAGCTCAGAAGACCAATGAGCTGGAGACGTAGATTGGGAACCCATTGGTCTGCATGACTTTTGAAGCCATGAGAGCAGGTCATATCAGCCGAGACAGTGTGTGGAATGAGGAGAGTGCTGTGGACACGAGCTTGAGGAACTCGAGCTTTTACGGGGTGAATGGAAGAAGAGTCATCGGCAGGCTAACTGAGGAGTAGCCAGAGGGGTAGGAGGAAAAGGTGTGTTGCTTTAAATCCATATAAAATCCTATCAGAAATATCTAAGAGCATCTTAAAGACAAACTTGAACCTACTTGGAATTGTCAAATCTTACTAATTCTTCTCATTCTTAAGTAACCTTTACAGAGTTAAAGGGTTATGCTGCTATTATGAGGTGTGAATGCAGTACTGGAGAGAATTAAATAGACTAACTAGAAACAACTACATTAGAGTCACCTTTACATGAATTTTCCCCAAGGAGCAGGGCTGCCTCCCTAACCACTTACCTGGGGAGGGAAGGTGCCCAGAGGGGACCTTGACCCTTAAGATAGGCTCACTGCCACTGGCTTAAGAGGGAAAGGGGCACTGCACGAGGCCCCGTTCTCATGCTCCCCGTGAGTCATTACACTCTGCACTCCAGACTCAACCTCCAGCACTTCCCCCAGACATGCCCCTCAGTGTTCAGTGAGTCTCCCAAGGAAACTAGGTTCTCTGCCATAACTTCTTTTCAGCAGTGAGAACAAAGTGCTGAAGTTCTGTCCTTGCCAAGCAGGGGTTGTTTATGCTGGCTTTTCTTATGTTGATCAGAACTGAATCATAGCCTCAGCATTTGACAAATATGAAAAAGATGCCAATTGAGTACAAATTAAATAACTTTCAGAGTAAATTTATAAAGGAAAATTTGCAATTTGAATCTATCCAGAGATTTTGTATTATAATTAAGGTATTTAAGTTTATATCATTCAGGTTTTGACTTAGCAACTTAGTTATAAAAACCTGAAGGCAGTGAAAAATCTCAGCGTATGGAGCCATAGTTGACCAGTATATCAGACTGGAAAGATTAATTTTAATAAAGCATCTAAATCCATGAACTGTATAAATGAGGCTTTATTCTCAGGTCTTTTTTCTATTCAGGGAGTTTCATATTGTAATTATTTTTGATAAGTGGGAAAGACTGACTTGATACGCAGGCCATCAAAGAGCAACATGAGACTCCTTTGAAAGGCTTTTCATTATAATTTTCCATTTTAAAATCCTTGTGTTTTTGGGCGCTTTTTATTTCTTTTAAGTGCTTATGCCTATTATTTTAGTTATCCTTACACCCTTTGACGTAGGTAGTGACGTATTTATTTCTAATAGCAAAAACCCATAACATGTTGGTAGGGAAATTAGCTTGAACCTGCTGTTTCTCTAAGCCTTTTTTGTCCTTTTCCCCTTTCATTGATTTCCTAGTTCTGTGGAGCAGCCTTTGATTACATTCTGCTCAGATGACTTTTTTATTTGCCAGTTGGCCTAATCACCCCAATTTCTGTCCAGAATTCTTTCTCCTGCCTCCTTGAGTGCCTTCTCTGTGTTCATTTGCACAGAGGGCTGCTGTTCTCTGGCCCTCCTAAGCCCCCAATCCCCTCTGCCCCTTGTTTATCTCCAGAACATTCACGTGCTTGCCTGGGAGAGGGATATGGCTGCTCTGGGCCCTCTTTCCAGTTCTTCCCCCTGAACTTCGCCCTCTGTCCCCATCCCATTTGCCTCCAAAGCTCTTCTTTCATCAGCTGCTTTCTGTTCCGTAGGAAAGTCAGCAGCCCACTTGAAAAGCTTTGCTTCTCCGTGAAGCTAGCAGTCCCTTTCCTTTGACTGCAAGGCCTGCTTGCTGCTGCAAATGGGGAGGCTCACAGACACCCCCAACGTGTAAGTGGCAAGCGTGGGACTGATGCCCTCCACAGAGTGGCTCTCTTGTCACTTCCCTGCCTTGTCTTCTTCATGGTTAGTGTATAGTTACGGGAGGTACATGATAGTGCCTTGAAAACTGTAAAGTACCTCACACATGCAAACGTTAGCAAGTTTGCTGAGAGAAACTACTCTCCGGGTGCAGAGTCTACTGTGAAGGGTTTGAACCAGCGCCTTTAGTAAGTTCTACGTGTCTGGAATGGAATGAGCCAAAATCCCATTGAACAGAGGGTGGCAGGCTTATGCCAATGTCAAAGTATCCTTCCTTCCCTCTGAAAAGTGAAAGAAACTGCATGAGTGAATGCAGAATTTGGACCCTGTATTCAGAGTCGGTTTTACTAAGTTGACATCTAGT